TTAGATGCCATACAATAGCCCTCACAAAAACCTTTATAATAGCTCAAACTTGTTTATGAAATATTTAATGGTAAGAAGTTATCAACAGAAGATGCTCAAAACCGTCCATTATTACCCTGTTTGATGTTATGTCAGCTGTGAAAATAAAGTCTGGGCTATTGTCAATTCTAGACATTTCAGAATCTTTCTAAGCTAGGCTATGCTCAAACCTACAATTCATTGCTCTGATTTTTTGCTCTTAACTGCTTGACAAATGCTGAAATGTAAATTTTTTCAACAAATTTTACAATTCATGTTTCTTGATGTTACCATACCAATGTATAATGTTGTATTATTGTTCATTATTATGAATTATTGTACTTAATTATAATTTTAAATTAAGATGGAAGTTTACAATAAGATCAGATGCAGAATTGAGTGGTTTTAACAATTGTAACTAATTTTTATTCTTGCCACCCAACAGATTCATTCTTTTGAAAATTTTACTTCTATGAATGTGATGTTGATAATATTTCAGCTTTAAAATTTGATGCAGTATTCGGAACCTAAAAGCTATTTTCATTTGCTAATTTCATTAATAAGGTTCGCATCAATTCTCTTGCCATTGCTTTGTCATCTAAATATTAAGTTACCTCAATTTTGGTGACCTGCAAGTATTGCATACGGAGATGGCATACACCATCAAACGATGCAGTGTTGCGCTGCACCAACTTTCTGATACTACAATCAGGAGGGACGGGTGTCCTGAGCAGAGCCTACCACAGGCGGCTGCTGGTGCTGTTCAAGTCAAGTCTGAAGGTAAGCCAAGTATTTGAAAACTGTTATCTCATACTCTATCACTCAGAAAAAATGTCTGTAATAATATTGTAATATGGTCTGTAATATTTCCTTTTGTAATGCACAGAACTGTAACATGTTGCTTTTCTATGCAACTCTGAGATTGAATCGTAGTTAAGTATGACCTGAGGGTGGTTCTTCTGTAGCGGGATCCGAGGATATACAGTACTTATTAAAATCACTTGTTTGCTTAAACCGCAAGCTAACTAGGAATTCAAAAGCAAAAAAAAAATACCACAAGAATTCACCATATCTTTATAAGAGAAAACGTTTCGGAGTCCAGCTCCATCGTCAGTTCACAAAATTCAGTTCAGAAGAAGTTCAGATCTAGAAACACAAATACACTCAATTAGTAGAGTAAAAGCACTGTTAGGTTTTAAAACGGAGAATAAATAAATAAGACATGAAATTAACGCTAGTAAACGGCCTATCTATTTACTATTTCACGAGGAACGGAGCTAAAAGCGGCATTTAGACTATGCTTCTGCTTGAATATATATAGAGATTCTAAAATGCGTAGATCAGTAACACCGGATGCGGAAGCTAGACTTTTAAAATCATCATCGGATACAGAGGTGTTGCACTGCTCAGCATGAACACGTACTGCAGAATGAGGTGGATGTGAAAGTAGCACTCCGAGAAAATATTGTTTGAATCGAGCAGGGACTATCGTAGATCTTCACAACTCTACTACTGGTGCGTGACCACGATGACCAGTCAGGACCCACCAGGTTAATGACGATGAAAACTTTGATATGTTGATTTCACTTGAATTTGGAATCGATTATTTGTTGTGCACAACACTTAATAATTTATACTTTTAATTTTTGTGTGCATGCATCTGTCAACTCGTTGAATCTATCAAGTGAGGAGCTATTACCAAGCTCATGAACATTATAGCCTATGAAGTTCAGAGCTATTACCAAGCTTATGAACATTATAGCCTACGAAGTTCAGAGCTATTACCAAGCTCATGAACATTATAGCCTACGAAGTTCAGAGCTATTACCAAGCTTATGAACATTATTAATTATGAAGTACAGAGCTATTACCAAGCTTATGAACATTTTTACTTATGAAGTTCAGAGCTATTACCAATCAAATGAACATTATTACCTGTGAATTTCACACACATTCATGGTAGAATTATGAGACATTGAGTTCTAAACAAGTTTCTAGTATTTAAACTTGAGTTGAAGTTATTTCTCTTTACGAAGATATACTCAAATAAGTGTCAATAATCAATCCAGTAACTTTGAAAGCTCAATTCGGTTAACGGGTTACGCTTGAACTCTTAACTTATCAGCTCTTACCTTAATTGCAAAGTGTTCAGCCTCGTTCCTTTATGGAGACCTTTAAAAATTCCGGAATAAAGGCGCTTTTTATTGAACTGTCGCGGGCTTCAGGAGACTGCAGTGTGGCGGTAATTGTTAACTGTGTATAAGTTTTTACTTGCGATCTCGTAAATATGTTTTGCCTCTGAAAGCACTCCCCTGAAGATGCGCACTTACAGTATTTTTACTTGAATGAGGTAAGCAGGTTTTTTGAACTTTATAAGTTAAATTTTCATAGTTGAATATTTTAGCAGTGGTTGTCCTCAAGCGCGTTAGTATTAAAGTCCTTTTCTCGAACAGTATACATACTGGTCTGCTTCCGTCCTGCGTGACCACGTGGACCACTAAATCCTTCTAAATTTCGAGTGACCAACCATAAATTTTGGGGTTAAAGCTGAACTTCATGCAACGATTAAATCAGATTAAATTACTTCAATCATCCTCGATTTGTTTTGATCCTCCTGAAAGATAAGATATTCAATTCTAGAAGAGGTTTAACTCCAGCGTCGGGTAGAATTTCCAACACATTTCATCATTGACACATTTCAGAATTAACACGTCTTACTGTTATCTTTTGTTGAACTGTTATCTCATACTCTATCACTCAGAAAAAATGTCTGTAATAATATTGAAATAAGGTCTGTAATATATCCTTTTGTAATGCACAGAACTGTACAGTACTTTTATTGTGGTCACCTCGTGATTCTCTGGCGCGGGCAGCCCTCGGGCGCGGCTCATGGGAATTGCAGGCCTGGCATCTGCCCCAATTTCTCTATATTCTACAATTTGAATATGTGAAAGGTTTTTTACGGCGACTTTGTTATTTTGTAGCGCTTCTATTGTTGTCTGGACTCAACTTTAGCCAAATTAACTAACATTCCAGGCTGTTGTATGCTGGACTCGCATAATTGAAATTATGTTAGTTATTTTTCTAATCTATTACTGATGGGAGTCTTGTAATTGTGTGTAATCGATTTTGCCATGCCTTAAGCTCACGTGATAACTCGCTCACTCATAAAATGTTGTCGTGAATCATGAATTAACGTAGTTCTGTTCCGCAGAGACCTCACATCGACGATCAAAGAATCATTCCTGCCCCTGCAACGTGTGAACTCAACATCTCGTGCCTGTGTTACGACGCTCATCTCGTGCCTGTGTTACGACGCTCATCTCGTGCCTGTGTTACGACGCTCATCTCGTGTCTGTGTTACGACGCTCATCTTAATTGCAATAACCAAATTTAAATCAAGATTCAGAGTATTTTTGCAGCCTATAAACATAAACGCAGCCTCCAAACGACACAAAAATATTGCGAATGAAAGATTTTATTTGGCGTTTGCGTTCAGAGGAAACCTCTTCTATGGCAACATTTTGGCGGGAAGACGAGTTGAACTGAGCCATCGGCAGGCGGATGTGCGTGTTGTGTGAGTGCGTATCTAGTGTGTACGTATTCAATGTAAAAGTTTTCAGTACGTACGTATTTCGTGTACACGTATTGCGTTTGTGTAGCTGTAACGTGTGCGTTTCTGCGTGCATTTGTAACGTGTGCGCTTCTTTAGTGCGGTTGTAACGTGTGCGTTTGTTTGTGTACATAACTAGCTGCATAACACCTACACGTCTACACACTACATCACATGCACATAATCTTCCTATACACGTATTCAATTACTCATCTACATCATTACCCCAGAACTCTTTACTCCACTAAATAATTACCCTAACTAATTACTTCACTAAATAATTATTCCATTAACGAATAACTCCAGATATGAATTACCCTACTGATTAGTTTGTCTATTAGCTAATTACTGCCTCAACCCTGATCACCTCGGGTGGTCCATTCTTACCCTCATAATAAAAAGTATATAAGAAATATTTTCATTTTCGAATGCATAGCGATCGTTATACATTGGCATTAATCTCGCTGGTTTCAAAACAAACGAAGACATTAAACGTACAATTATCGGCCCAAAGAATTACGTGAACAATCAATTGATTTCATTAATCGCATATTTGATTACATGCAGTATTTCTGCGCACAAGCATCGCGATACGCGCTCCTCGATGTTGTTCGTTGTTCACTGCCAGTAATTCCTAGATGTGGAACCGCTCACGCCTGGCATCGAACAGCCGCTCGATGTGATCAAAAAGTTCACCCACTGACCACCCTAACATGGAACATAGCAGCTTAGGTTCATTAGAAACTGACTGCGCCTGAACGCCCAGTAATTGGGATTGGATTTGGAGATATTTTTAACTGTTGAGCGTTTTAAACCAACCCGAGGTGACCATGTTTTGTTCATTACTCCGTATAATGAGGAAGTGGTTTCACGGCAGCACATCCGAACATCTTTTCTATCTACTTCCTAACCTCACTCACGTCGACTCCTCCTCAAACTTGTCTTTCCCTTCTACCCCAACCCACATTCACGTCAAACTTCCTCCCACCTCCACCTTGCTCCCCTCACGCCACCCCCATCTTCCCTAAGGATTTCTAAGAGGCAACTCTTCCCTCTACCCCCATCCCTTTTACCCCATTTCCGCCTCAAGAATCAGGGAGCAGGTCGAGCTTGGGCAATTTCTCGCTATACCCATCACCCTTTTCCATATCATTAGTCCTCCGAGGGAAGTCACTTCTTCTCCTATCACTTGAACCCCCGGGAGAAGCCCCCGCCTTACTTTTCCCCTATCACTTGTCCCCTAGAGAGAAGCCCCATCCTGCTCTCCTCCATTCACTTGTATACCCGGGAGAAGCCCCCGCCCTACTCTCCTTCTATCACTTGTAACCCAGGGAGAAGCCCCCGTCCTACTCTCATCCTATCACTTGTACCCGGGAGAAGCCCCCGTCCTACTCTCCTCCTATCACTTGTAACGCAGGGAGAAGCCTCCGTCCTACTCTCCTCCTATCACTTGTAACGCAGGGAGAAGCCCCCGTCCTACACTCCTCCTATCACTTGTAACCCAGGGAGAAGCCCCGTCCTACTCTCCTCTTATCACTTGTAACCCCGGGAGAAGCTGTAGGAGAAACCTCTCTCCCCTGTCAAGTTTTCGGCCGATTTATCGTCGGACGCGGCCGAGTTACCGGCGGCCACGGCCACGTAGGCCGCCGAAAATCCTTTTGTGTTGATGGTGTCGTCTGAGCGGAACCTGACGAGGAGACTCGACCCTTCGCCCCCTATCTCCTGGGGGATCTGAGGGATGAAGAGGGGGTCATGGGTCAGCGTGGGTAGAATTTAACCTGAGGGATCTTAGGAATAGAAGCGGGGGTCAGGCAATGGGTAAAATGTCCCATAGAGAATTATAGTGAAGAATAGGCACCAATAGAGGACCAAATGTGCAAAAAATTATGACGTAAATGACTATTACCAAGTCCCGACTTACGACATTGCCGCAGAATTTGCCGTAGGATGGCCCCGTGTCGTCGTATCCTGCGAAGATCTGGACGAAATCGTAGCCACAATCGTGCTCGTCCTCCAGCTCGAAGGTCAGGAAGGACAGATGGACGGTGTGGCCATCAGGGGCCTCTATGATCCAGTCGCAGTCCTCCTTATTCTCGTAGTTGTGGTCGCCGTATTTGGCGTGCGAGTACATGTGGCGGACGGCGCCCGGAGAGGCCATCAGGTGGCCGCCACACACTACAATATAAAAGATGGCGGTCAGCATGGTGCCCGGTGAGGCCATCAGGTGGCCGTCACACACTACAACATACAAGATGGCGTTCAGCATGGCGCTCGGTGAGGCCATCAGGTGGCCACCGAAGATATGATCATCTGTATTTGAGACGTAAAATTATCTAGACGTGATAGAGATTGATGGAAAAGTACTAGAATTGATTTAGCGTCTGGACAACATCACGTGATAGATCACGCGCTCAAGACCTCAGTATTGGGCGGAAGCCGTGATTTTATAAAAGGGCTGGGAACCGTAGCAAAGCCCCTGCTGAAGCTGACAAGTACGTACGCCGCGATTCAACGCGCGTTAGAGCTACTCAGAACTAACGGTCGACGTCTTAGCTATACCTGTATCGCATCGCTCGTGTATCACCACCCCGTACCTCTCTATCCCAGGGAACAATAATCAATTCGGATTTAATAATTCACTTAAAGAATTTGATCGCAATTCACCGAAAATCTTTTTGCTTTAAGCTCATAGAATTCAATGACGATGCAAGCAATGTTTGCTGAGCTTGCGCAATGTCTGTTCGAAAATCGCGTCGTAAGCAAAATGACTTCACGCTCAGCGATAGCATTTAATGAGATCTTTAATGAGACAAGCGATCTTATTAATGTACTTAATGTACAGAGCAAAAATGAGGTTCATGCAGTTCATCCTTGATGGCACTTGCCAATCCAAGATATATTGTGACATCATCAATACAGAAGATATTATTTAATCCCGTGTCAATGAGATCATTCAAGTGCGTCGAACTAAAGTTAAAATTTGATAACTTTACTGTTAAAGTAACTGATTGCTCATGTACGTATCTACATTTTGCCACTTATTCGACCAACGTTTGAATATTTATGACATGTTATGCTGTTTGTTCAAATATTATTGTATTCGAATTAAGCGCTGCGAATGACAAATGGTTTGATCCCATTACTGTGTTTACCACTAAAATGTAATATTTCACACGTCTGATATTAACATGTTGACGTCATTTGAACGCAGGGAGCTACTTCCCCCTCCTCTGACGTTTCTGAAGCCTCACCTGTGGAGTGCGTGGCTCTGAAGCCTCACCTGTGGAGTGCGTGGCTCTGAAGCCTCACCTGTGGAGTGCGTGGCTCTGAAGCCCTTGCGCTGCACGGAGGAGTCCGATTTAAAGATCATGTACATTTGGTTGCCCGACGCCACGATGGGGTGGGGCACCTGTGCGGGGGGATGGTCTGTTAGTACCCTTAGCAGGATAACCACTCGACCCTTAGCTGAGCCCCTCCGTATAGAGATTTCAATGGGATTGAGATCCTTGGTATAATGCCCTCAAGAGGGTTTATACCTTGGTATGATGCCCTCAAGGGGGTTTAGACCTTGATATAATGCTCTCAATGGGGGTTTAGACCTTGGTATGATGCCCTCAATGGGGTTTAGGCCTTGGTATGATGCCCTCAAGGGGGTTTAGACCTTGGTACAATGTCCTGTAGGATTTTGAGCCCCTTGGTACCACCCGACATTAGCGCCCGTACTTCAACGCGTTAGCACCTCACCTTAGCGCCGCAGTAGCGCCCCAGCTTGGCAGCGTTAGCGTTGGTGCCGTCGTAGAGGACGATGTAGTCGTACGTACACTCCTGGTGAGGCTCCATCTCGAACTCGTCAAACACCTACGGGTAGGGGGGGGATGAGCAATAATATAGAAAGAAAGAGCTTAGTTATGCAATATCTTGCCACACGGGTGGAAACTTCTCAGCATTACACTCTGTCTCACGTACGACAACGTGCCATCTACTACTTTTTCCACACGTACGACAGCGTACCATCTCCACCCCTTCCATGCGTACGATGGCTATCATGCATTCACCTGTGCCACGTATACGAAATCCCATTAATCATATCCCTGCCACGCATACGATAACACTTGTACTTCAACTCCTATCAGCTATCAGAGAGCTAACCAAGCTCCTGCTCTACTGCGTGTACGACAACTCACTAGCACCCACACATGACACGTCTAAAACTCTCTAGCCTCAGGCAATGCCTGGTGTACAACAACTAACTAGGCTCCACCTCTGTCAGGTGTACAACAACTCACCAGGCTCCACCTCTGCCAGATGTACAACAACTAACTAGGCTCCACCTCTGTCAGGTGTACAACATCTCACTAGGATCCATCCCTGTTGAGTCCACAATAGCTCTAGCATGCACCCTGCCCCATGCACGACAACTCTAGCATGCACCCTGCCAGATGTACGACAACTTCATCACAGTACCCTGTCATGTGCAAGTCAACTCTTTAGCTTCGCACCCTGCCAGTTGCACGATGACTCACGAGCTTGATGCGGTGCCCAGGGGTGGTGGTGAAGTGCCAGACGCAGTTCTTGCGGCTGGGGTAGTAGTCGGGGTAGTTGGGGCTGTAGGCTTGTCCCACGGAGGCCGTCAGTTCGTGCTTACAGCCTCCTTCCTTGCAGTCGTGGCCATTCTCGTGCAGGGTGAAGCCGTTGTGACAGGAGCACTGGTACGACCCCACGCTGTTGCGGCAAATGTGCTGGCAACCGCCGTTGTCCTGGGCACACTCGTCCTTGTCTGGGGAGGAGGAATGATTTAAGGGCGGTAACCCGGAGGGGGATGATTCAATTGGGAGGCAGTGAAGGGGAGGGGGATGATTCAATTGGGAGGCAGTGAAGGGGAGAGGGATGATTAAAATTGGGTGGCGGTGAAGAGGAGGGGGATGATTCAATTGTAAGGCAGTGTAGGCGAAGGGATAAATCGATTGGGTGTCGGTGGGTACTGAAATTGCTTATCGCCTAGCCAACTGTTCTTATCGACTCACCCCGTTTGGAAGGGGTGAGTCGATAAGAACAGTAATGCGTCGATGGGGATTGCTGCAGATTTAAGCAAATTAAGTGAACGAGTCTGGGACAAAGCGTTCAAGAAAATGCTCAAGTGGTAAGATGAAGGAAGAAAAATTTATGTATGTTATGACAATAAGTTAGAAAAATTTCATGAAGTTATGGTGCTCATGTATCAACACCATCATGAACGAAGTCTAATGTCGCATGCACGTTAGATAGATAATTCATGTCGCAGGATTTGTAAGGCAAATACGGTTCGTTTTAGGGGTAAAAAGGGTTATTACGTGGGTTCAAAAGATCAGCTGAAAGGGTTAATGGGTCGGTCCTGATGTTTGAATAGCAGTATTATTGGTCAAAGGGTAATTCGGCTGGGAGGGCAAATAATAAGGTTCGGTGGGTGAGTCCGAAGATATAAAAGGATTTTTTGGGGGGGATTCAGAAGTACACCCTGGTGATCTAGGATTACTTCTAGGGCCCAAGAGCCCACTATATCATTGTTTCAATTTCTCTAGGGTTCAAAGGGTTCGTCCTGATAGCAACAGTGTTTCTAATATTAGCAATAGTTATTACAGGGTCAATATTTGGACCCTATATAAGGTCCATAGTGTATGTATAAAATGGCAGGGACAAACCCGTGAAGAGTGTCAGGGTTTAACCCGCGCCCGAAAGGGTTCAGGATCTAACCCTGCCACAGTATCAAGGTCTTACCCGTGAAAAAGACCGCCGCGAAGCCCGTCTTCTGCACGGAGTTGTCGGAGGAGAAAGACACCCGCAGGAGGTTGCCCTCTGACGTGACCGCGGGTGGCAGGTGCTGGCCGCAGAACACCCCGTGGGGGCGCAGCTCCATGTCCCCCAGACGTGACCGCACCTCCACACTGTCGTACTCGCAGTCTTGCTGTGGGGGACGGGAATCCAGACAGTAACAATGAAGAGCTGTGTGTCGGTATACTGTCAACTCACCCAACACCAAATCACACCCAACACCCTATCACACCCAACACTCCCATCACATCCAACACCCCATCACACCCTACACCCCATCACACCCTACACCCCATCACACCCAACACCCCATCACATACCCCCGTTCTCGTCCCCTCTCACGTTGTTCCCTTCGAGGTCGAAGTGGGTGAAGTTGAGGGTGATGCGGTACTGCGGGGGAGCGATGATCTCCCAGATGCAGTGCTTGTTGATGGGGTACAAGTCGGGGAAGCTGGGGGAGGTGATGGTCCCGTTGGGGGACTCGATGGGGCCCCCGCACGCGTCTGGGGAGGAGGGAGGGGTTACGGGGGGATTCTGTAGAGTGCGTGGTTTGGGGGAGGTTTGGGGGGAGGCGTTTTGTTTGGGGGTGGGGGGAGGCGTTCGGTCTGGGGGGGTTTGGGGGAAGCGTTCGGTCTAGGGTTTAGGGGAGGCGTTCGGTCTGGGGGGGTTTGGGGGAAGCGTTCGGTCTAGGGTTTAGGGGAGGCGTTCGGTCTGGGGTTGGGGGATGATGGGAAGGGAAGGGGAGTGGTATGGGGAAGAAGGGAAATGAGGAGGGCTCATGGAGAGGAAGGTTGCGTTTAGAGCATAGGTATGGCACATGGAGAGCTAGAGGTAGCTCATCTAGTTTGTCTAGAGTTTTAGCAAATCTGTTATGAATGAATGTGCTTCTACAATTCAGTAATAATTGCGTTATTCACATAATAACTAGCAATAATTGCAGTTATATACATTACAAATGTTGTGTGTTTAGATGCGATTTCTCAGCCCAATGCTCTATTATTATTGTACTGTTCAGTATCAGAAAACGACAACATCGCAAGGAGGACTCGTTTAACTGGCTTGAAATAGATTTAAAAATGCATTATGTCATATAAATTATAATTTTAACATAATTTCCTAGTAATAATATTTCTGAAAGTGATAACTATTTCAAGTGAGAAAAGTTGAGAATACCACTTAAAATTATTACCATTTATAGAAAAAATGATTTTAATTGGTAATTCAACGAGAATTTCCTTCTTGATAAACCGCAGAAAATTCATATGCAACATACATGTCTATTAAAATAGTATTTCCGTTAAGGCATAGTCTGTCATGTACCTGTTTTTTATTTGTGGCCATCATAAAACGAGAAAATTTATGGTGGAACTTAACTAAACAAGAACGATCATAATCATCGAGTATACTACCAAATTAGTATAATTAATATGTACCAAAATAACATTATCATTAATGCATACTATATACTTATAGCTTTTAATTCCCAAAATAACATTAATGCATAATAAACATATAGTGATAACATTCAATTAGCGATGCACAACACGAACCTTCACATCTGCGGCCGTCCGAGTGCAGCTCGTAGCCGATGTTGCAGCGACACTCGTAGCCGCCCAGCAGGTTGACGCAGGTCTGCTCGCACCCGTGGTCGCCCCCCCGGCACTCGTCGAACTCTGGGGGAGTGGGGGGGGGGGTTGGGGGTTATGGTCACTATACTGTCACCACCCACCAAACACTTGCGCTGTCTAATCTTGTGAACCCACAATGTTCGCAAATTTCACCCAACCGCTTGCATCTCTGCGTCACCCAACCACTCTACCATTTACCTCCTTACCTTTTTACTCTCTTACACCCACCTCTTTTTACTCTCTTACTCCCCCCTAGCTCTTACTTTACTCTCTTTTTCTAACCCTTACTCCCCTTCGTCCTTCGTGAAGGTGACCGAAAAGTCCGCCTTCAGCACTGATCCGTTCCCCCTCCTCCTGGCCCCTCCCGCTCATCTCACCACCCCTTTCTCTCATCCTTTCAACCCCTCATCCTACGTCGCCTTACCTCTTCCCTTTTTCCCCCTCACCCTCAAACTTCATGAAGATAGCTGAGAAGCCCACCTTATGCACGGGGCCGCCCCCCTTCCCTTGGCCCATCCCATTCATCTCACCGCCTCTCTCTCTCACCCCCTCACCCTTCATGAAGGTGGCCGAGAAGCCCGCCTTCTGCACGGACCCGTCCGTGACGAAGCGCACCGTCATGCGGTTGGTCGTGGTCTTCACGTCCTCGGGGATCTTGTAGCCGCAGTACACTCCCACCAGCCCCCCGCCCCCCTCCGCCACGTCACCCCCGTCACGCACGTCCAGGTAGTCGTACACGCACTCGTCGTGGTTCTCGATCTGAAAAGTTGCGCGCTCATAAGCAGGTCTACACTCGGTCTAAACTACTCTGGCCTAACCAACTCGGGAATAACTACTCTGGACTAACTACCCTGGACTAACTACTCTGGACTAACCAACTCTGGACTAACTACTCTGGACTAACTACTCTGGACTAACTAATCTGGACTAACCAACTCTGGACTAACTACTCTGGACTAACTACTCTGGACTAACCAACTCTGGACTAACTACTCTGGACGAACCAACTCACGCTGCCCCGACTCCACCCACTGTACGGATCTCACATAATTAATAAAACCTAACTAACATAAATTAACCTAACCTCATTGACAGTAAAAAGGTGGAGAAGCGGGGTCACGTGAGTAGGTTAATCCAGAGTAGGTTAGACGCCAGTGCAGGTTATGCCAGATTAGGTTAGGCCAGCGTAGATTTGTCCAGAGAAGGTTAGGCCAGAATAGTTTAGGCCAGCGTAGGTTAGGCCAGAGTAGGTTAGACCAGATGCAGTACGAGCATAGTTAACTTAAGCATGCTGGCCTCTATCACGCATCCCAATGGTAGGTACCAAGTGGTAGGTACCATAGGCAATAAATGCAGAGGCGAAAGCAACGGGGCAACTCTAACCAAGAGGTTGTCAACTTTGCTGGCGTGTGGTGAATGTTTCAGCATGCATTATTTCATTTGAACATTAATTTAATAATAAGTTTATGATAAAAATCAATGCACAAAAGTATCTTGCACACACGTCTAGTGTTTATTTTAAATAAAATCGAAATTCGTAGATTGAAGAGGATTATAATGTTTAGGTTTAAATAGAATCACAATCTAGAATTCCCTAAACTAAAACACAACGACGCCGACGCTTGATGGTGGCCGAGTCGATTTTTCTTGTATGACTTAGAGCACTGAAGCTGGGGAGAGAACTATTGATAATGAGATTTATTTGGCTCATAATTCTACTTGATCGTGCTTTGTTTTGCAGAACGCAAAAGTAAATATGTATGCTTTTGTCTCATTTTAAACAAGATCTGAAAATAGGGGTAGTTATGTTAAAATGCCGGGTGAAGTCGGATGAGTATTAGAAGGTGGTCATATCCATGCAGGCTCCGCCGGTATTTTATGTGTAAGTGAATGCTGACTGTAAAAACTATCTGTTTTGTGTTGTTTACTGTGTTTTCGTCAGCTGGTAGTACTATGACGTGAAATGTATTCTTTGTCCTGAAAAATCATGGACATAGATAGTAGTCCTGCCACCAAGAGTCAAGGTTTGAGATAGAAAACTGGAACGAAGCTTGTTGTTTGAAAACCCTAAACCTAAAGCAATCTAGGAAATTATTTTTAACTAATCTTGTCTTTGATTGAAACCTTGAAATAAGCCCAGTGAGATCCCACAGAAGCATACACGGCAAAACTGAAGCGCCTATGCTGCCGTGGCCGCGAAAAAGTAAGCCCAAGGCTTCAGCCGTTGCGGAACTGGTCTGGCATGCGGTGTTCCTATCTTGATCTGCGGAATCATTGGTCTGAAGCTTTTTTTTTCTTTCGCATGTTTATGCCTAACGTTGGCTACAGGGAAGGTTTAAGAGTTACATTTGCAGCTCAAGTTAAGGCTAGGCAGGTCACCTCGAAGGAGTGGAACCTGAGGGCGACCTGGAAGCCCTCGGGGACGGTGATGTGCCACACGCACTCCTTGTCCTGCCGGTAGTCGTCGGGGTAGTTGGGGGACTCCAGCCGCCCCCCCTCCTGCACCAGCTCCCCCCCGCACACCGCTGTGGGGGATATAAGGGGTTAGTGGGGTAGTTGGGGGACTCCAGCCGTCCCCCCTCCTGTACCAGTTCCCCCCCGCACACCGCTGTGGGGGATATAAGGGGTTAGTGGGGTAGTTGGGGGNCTCCCTCCCCTCCACTCACCCAGCAAGGAGTCCCTCCCTCCCCTCCACTCACCCAGCAAGGGGTCCCTCCCCCAAACCCCGTCGCGTATCTCGAGGTAGTGGGAGTGGCAGCCGTCGGTGTGGGGGAGGTCCAGGAGGGTGATGTTGAGGGTGATCTTCTCCCCGTGGGTGGCGGTGATACGCCACTCACAAGTCTCCCCCTCCGTGGGAGGGCTGGGGGACCCGAACCCGGGGGACTGCAGAGTCGCCGAGTTCTCCTGGTGGGTGCGGCCGCACTCTGGGGGAGAGGGGGTTCAGTTGGGGGAGGAGAATAGGGGTAAACGGGATTATAAGGGGGGAGTGTGTGGGAGTATTTATTTGGGGATTCAGGGTGTCACCCATGTAAGGGTGAGTTGGGAAGCCTGGACGTAGAAAAAAATTATCAAGGAAATTTAGGCTAGGCCCCCATCTCGGACATGTCCGCCCCATCCCAAGTCCCCCGTCACTCACTGGGACACCCGTAGAGCAGGTTGGTCTGGGCGATGTCCCCCGGGCTGAGCCGCACCCGCTGTCCGATCTCTGGGAGGCTCTCCAGACCTGGCTCCGGTCGTGGTCTGATGGTGTCCAGATACGTCGCCTGCACGACCATAACACGATCATAGCGCGACCATAACACGACCAAAACACGGCCATAACACGACCTTAAAACGACCATACCACGATCATAACACAGCCATAACACAGTAATGAGTAACGCACAACAACACGCGGTAATGACGGCAAAATTTAACATTGAAAGCGACGATAATTAATTCGATGGTCAACTTTTGAGGAGCTTGGAGATTTGAGTGAAATAAAGGAAATAATTAGTGTAAATCAGTTTGTATGCTTGACGATTGACTAATTATTATTTGAGATCTTTTGGAGCAGAAGAGTTTAACTTGTTGACAACACCGGGGTTGAGATCTGAGGTCGGGTAGATCCTACAGAGCAATCCAAGGTTCATCACTCAGTCTGTACTGTTTGTAATAGTCTATAGTATCATGGAGTCGTCAGTGAATAACAATGTCGAGACGTGGCTCACTGCCTCATCTAATGTCGGCGATGTGGATGAGGAAGAGGATAGGACCAAGCATCGTTCCCTGTGGTACTCCACTATTCACCCTCGCTTTGCTTGAATTACAGCATCAACACAAAGAAATTAATAGGTCATATTGTCTAAATAATGACACAATCTGTGCACTGATACAACTTTTTGCCTTGCCAAATTGACTGAGGCAATGACAAAATATGCATCATTATTTCGTCAGAAGTGGACGGAGTGGACGATACCTACCTTGGCGAAGGTGGCCCTGGCGTAATGCATAATGCTGCCGAAGTCGTAGCGCTGCCCAAGAGAGTTCACCTCCTCCCCCGTCAGCTTGTTGAAGTTGTAGTCCTGACCTGGAGGCGGAAAACAATAGTGGTACCTGGACATCTTACAGGACTGCAGAAGTTTAGGCAACATTTGGAAACACTGAGGAAAGTTAGGTAGTGTGGATACGTTAGGTTATATATGGTCATGTACTTAGCCTGAAGACATCAGGCACATTGATTTGCGACGTGGTACGCTAGAGTAGTAAGATGTACTGTGGTAGTTATAGAGTACTTTGAGGATTATCAAAACGGGCAGAATGCCCCTATTCCTTTTGGTTCTATAAGTGGTTTCCCGGCCTTTTCTTGCCTTAGTTATCCCACTACCACCCACCCGCTCGCCCCACCGACTGGATGCTCCAAACCTTGCCCCTCCTGGCTCATTTGCTAACCCCAATACACTCACCCGCCTGGATGTTCTCCCTGATGATCTCCACGTGGTTCTCCCTGTCCGGACGCGTGTGCTCGTGCCAGAAGCCCACCACGTGGCCGAGCTCGTGGACGACGATTCCAAACTTGTCGCAGTTCTTCCCGATGCTGATGGCCTGGGGCCCGTTGCCCCGCTTCCCTACGAAGCTGCAGCACCTAAAGGAGGTGGAGATAGTGAGCAGAGGCAGGAGTTTTGAGGCAGTCGTGGAGCCGCCACCCTACAAACTGAATGTACCCCCTAAAAAGTAAGTGAAGGGAATTACCTCATCTCACCAGAAGTCCGTTGGCGAGGAGCTTGTTGACAAAGGAATGAGAAAAAAGGGAGAAAATAGTGAACCGTTAACACAACTTTCAAGTAAGCTGTAGCATTTAGGGATGAGTTATAGGACAAGAGAAGGGGGTAACTAGACGACAGAGGGAGAAGTTAGCGGGCGGGAGGCGAACTATGAGGTAGGAAGATGACCTGCAAAGCTCCTCCACCTCCCAACGAAGCTGCAGTAAGTGGGATGATAAGCTGGTCGACATATGTCTAGTGGTGCAGTGGTAAAACGGTTAGGAGGCTCAGTGGTTATCATTGCACTGATGCAGTGGCATGGCATAGTGGTAAGTGCGTGCTGTGGCGCATGGGCCTTAGTTGTGCAGTGGTGTGAGTTGTGCAACGGTGAGTTCGTCATAAGGTTTAAGGTCTATAGTTACCCGCAGTCTCGTACGGTGAAGATGATGTAATTGGGATGTTCGTCGGTTTTCTCCACAAACTTGACGCAGGTGAAGTTCTCCCAGTGCCGCATGGCCCGCTTGAACAGACCCTTGTCAGACCCTGTGAAGTTCGTATCGATAATGTACGGGATGACCCCGTGGTCCCAGACCCGCTCCTGGGGACATAGACAGTTCAGTTAGATGCCGAGAACCGCAAGTGGTTCCGTGACTAATCAAGCAGACTTTGAGAGCAGGGTTAAGATAGTAATCTATTTCAGCAGACCATGTGATCTCCAGAAAGATTCTAGACCGTTCAAGCAAACCCTGGGACTCGCATTAAGATCCTTGTTAGAACTTGGGACCCACAATGAGGTCATAGATCGCATTTCTTAGACCCTTTGTCTCCGTGAGAGGGTCTAACTATTGAGGGTCTTGACAATCCTCATTGTTAGTCACCAAGCCCATGAACCTGAGACGGTAGTAGGCGTAGACCCTTTAGTTAGAGTTTGACACGCTGCCATTCCAGTAATTCCCACCGCAAGTTGCACCCACATGACAGGGATACCACGTCACGTATTGACCCACTTATTTACATTAACAGGAACACATTTTATTCGTATTGCAAGCATGAGTTTGGTGCTCAACAGCACCACAATGTGAGACGTGGTCTCACATTGGTCACAATGAAGAGACGTGGAGACCACAATGAGACGTGGTCAGGCTGAACCAGCAATACATATGGGGTCTCATTCCGGAATGACGTCACCATAAGATATGTCAGACATGACGCCACTATCTTAATGGCCACAGACTACATTGCTACTGACTCATCATCCCTCAGAAGGGCATCTGAATGATGATAAATTATAATGTATCGATAGTCATGAGGTTCCCGGTGGTGGCACAGTCCGCTAATCCGTTAACTGCTAATTAGCGAAGCTAACTTTTTCATAAGTAAAAAGGAAAGTTCAAAAACCTAAAGAAACTTTCCATCGGTTAAGGAAAAAGTTAGTTTCGCTAATTAACGGTGAGCGGATTATCGGACTGCGCGCAATACTGGAGGTTCCCATTAATTACTGAGCAATGGGGTGCGAAATATGTAGGATATACTCATATCAATGAGATAAGATTACGAACCCTTCGGGCCGTGGCAGCACGTCGGATTCGATGGAGCTTCTTGAGCTTCCGTCCTTTCCGCTCACTGGCGCGGATTCGTCCCATTTTGCGTACATTTTCTCTTAACCCTCTAGGGACGTCAGAACTGGACGACAAACTCCCCTCCTCTCCTTTTCTTCCTTTCTTTTTCCGCCTGGAACGATTTTCTACGTTTTTTTTACGATCGCTTGGAATTTTCGATCCAATTTCACCCCGTCTGTCATCGACGGTAGAAGATAGAGATCCATCGCGATCGTTGCGTGTCGGCGATACTCCATCTGACCTAAAGATTTCCCCAATTTCCCCCCTATTGCCATTCTCTTCCTCGGCACCCGATTTCCGTTTCGATCGATTTCGGTTTCCTTTAGAAATTGATGACTCAGCGTCTAACCGTTCCGATTGAAACTGTTCTTCTTCGGTAAGGTCGTTTTTCCTAATAGGATTCTCGGCATTGCCTGTTATCAATTTAGGGCTGTTTTTCGACTCATCGCGATCACCGACGCTTTCTGCAGAATCGGCGACACTTGGAAACGTTGTATTCAAATTTGAACGTCTTAATCTATCCCCCTTTTGGGAAGAAGCTGCTAATTCGGCACCACCTTTAATATTACCAGCTTGGGTTTGGCGATCTTTGGAATAGAGGTTTGCATTTTTTTCCTTTGCATCGTCATCCATCGAGAGATCAGGGCGAGTTGGATCGTCTGATCTAGTGGAGTAAGGATTCTTCGTCCTGTAGGGATCATGCCGATTTTGTGGATCTCGGTAATTAGAGTCGTAAGCCTCAGAATTTCTAGCATACTCTGGGTTGAAAGGGTCAGTTCTTATCCTGTCTGGCTCTGTACGGTAAGGATCTCTCGGATCTGCTGCGACGAAGGGGCCATCACGAAAAAGATCTATTCTACGACTAGGATCTTCTAGACGCGTTCCACCTTGTTCAGGCCTCCGAATGTTGAAAGGATCGCTAGACCCGTAACGATTCTCCCGATTCTGATCATAAGGTAGGTCCGGGCGATATGGATCTCGATTCCGGTACCGATCTACATCATCCCAAGGACCATTTTTGTCTTTATCATAAGGATCACTTGGCCTGTATTGATCCGGATCATTTTTTCGAGCTTTTTGGTTGCGATTTTTAAGCCTGCGATCGTTCGAAAGGTCGCGATCATCGGAGAAACGATTCCTTGGCGGGTCTTCAAAATCCGAATATCGCTCGCGATCTCGATCGTCAAATTCTGATCGTCTACCATCGAGGTGCGATCGCCGATCATCGAATTCTGATCTTCGACCGTCATCCCTTGACGACCCTTCACGATTGTTATCATTTTTCCACGGGACGTTGGCGTGATGGTAGTCAGGACGTCGCAGAGGGTCTTCGTAAGGCTTACTTCTTCCGTAAGATGACGTGCGGGAATCGTAGAATTTGTCGTAACCCGAGCCTGACTTATCATCCCGGCGATTGTCGCTGGCTCTGTTGTAGTTATTGTTGTCATTGTAGTTGTCCTTGCTGTAGTGGTTATCGCGATCCCAAGTGCGGTTTCGATTTTTGCGGTTCCGCCGACGATTTTTATCGCGATTTTTTCTACGGGAATTCCGGTTTCTCTTACGATCGTTCCACCTATTTGAGTGTTTGTTGTTGTATCGATTTCGGTTGCGGTTTCTTCTAGCCATCTTACGTCTGAGGACGCTGGGGGAATGTACCTTATTGATCAGCTTGGGTTGTTCTTCGTCGTTCGGAAGTTCTTCATCTGACGCAGGCGTTAGGTACCCACGCTGTTGGCTGACCTCTAGTAATTCTTTCTCATAAAAAGCATCAGGGATCTTACCTCGAACCTTATCACTGCTGTAAAAAGGCAGTAGTCCTCCATCCAGGCCAGTTTGCCGAGGATATATCCACCCGGTCGAGTTACCATGCCCGGGACCCCCGCTGTAGACATGGCCGTCGTAGAGGTGGTCTTCGGGGTAGTAACCGGAGTAGACATCACCGTAACGGTCGGCGTTTCTACGGTAGTAATCATCGTAGAAATTAGGATCTTCTCGTCTCCGGTCGTCGTAATAGTTAGGTGATGCAAAATACCGAACGTCTTTCAAAGGTTTGTTCAATATTTTGGCACGTTTGAACTTCATTGCGCTTTCGCGGTGGATTTTGCGGTACTGCTTACGTTCTAGACGTGCTTTGCGCAGGTTGTTTTTCCTGATAATCATGAGTTCGCTTTCATGGGAGGTTCGATTCTTATCTTTTTTTATGTGTTCTGGAAGCGACATATCTATAATGATAGGCTTGTCGTTGGAATTATCGAGATCTGGTTTCTCAGTTGTTATCTTCAAGTTTCTCTTTGCGGCTTCAAGGTTATCGTGAGAGCGGTCGATCTGAGAGAGAAACCCATCATGGCGAGGGACGTCAGGAGGTTCGTACCGTGGTCTGTTGTAGTCGTCTGACGTGGAAATTTTATCGTAAGGAGGAGGGAGTCTAGACTCCCGCACAACCGGAGATTTTTCATCAACAATTTCACCCTTTCTCTCTAATGGTGAATTCCTTTTTCGGATCCTGATCTCTTCTTTGCCTGATTCAGGTTTCTTATTTTCATTTTCAGATTTATATGCCCGTTTTTCCACTTTTTTCTTTTCTGTTTCTTGTAGATCTATATTGCCAGGCTGCAAATGGTCTGAATTATCTACAATGGATTCATCATTCTGCATGTTAAACAGGTCTGGGCTGTCACCGAACAGCCCGAGGTCATTCCCCATATCCAGCTGTTCATTAAACTTCTGGATTTGATCACCTATAATCTTTTTCTGCAGTTCCACCAAAGGATCTTCTTCCAGATCCTCCCCGTGCACGTGCAGATCCTCCTCAGGGGGGATGGTCACAATTTCGGAGTAAGAGTTGTAGCTTGTTTCTCCATCAGACGTGACTGTGATATTAAGCAAGCGCATGGTATTTTTCTTGTTTAACCTTTCCTTGAGGAGACGTAAATTCCTTTCGTGGTGGAGCCCCGAAAAATGCTTGTGGGGGTGATGCCCTTGGTGGTAAACAGCCCTGTGGTTGTGATGTTTGTGATGGGTTGGGCGTTTCCTCGACCGTTGAACCCCGGGATTTTGAGGACCAGCTTTTATTGACCCGGGTAGCTCATGTGTATAGTTGGCGAGCCCCTGAGAGAGGTTCTGTGCCAAGTGGGACCCATTAACCTCAACTACTCCATTTCCAGTTCCAAGGGAAGTCGATAAATCGTCTCTATCGGACGACATGACGGCACTGACTCTCGGCGGGATCACATCAGACTTTATTTCGACTAGATTTCCGTCAGAATTTTCGTCATTTTCAACGGGGTTACCGTCATGACCGCTGAAATCACTGTCAACGCCATTCCGGGTTTCTTCCTCGCGATGGTTGAAGTGGTACATGGTATTTTGGGGGTGGTTGTGGGCTTCCTCGGGGTGGTTGAGGAGGTGCAGGGCGTCTTTGATGTTCTGAAGCTGCAGCTCGCGCTCATAGTCGGAGTTGGGCAGGGCAATGTCGTCCAGGAATCCACCTGTCGGTAAAGAACATTCGTGGCATCAGCAATAACGGAATAAAACTCAATAAACATTTGTATACTAGAGCGAGTATTACCTTAAATTGACAGGTAAAAAAGAAGTTCCCTACGCAGGTATTACCAATTTTAAATGTATGTTAATTATTACCAAAAGATACGTTTAGGCGATATATTATATGAAATTAGCGTGGTCGAAATTTTCTGAAGACGGAATAAGCTTCGGTCATAAGCCGTAGCAAGATCGCGCGAGCAAAAACGTTCCGTGACGTCATGTTGGAACTTTGTCACGAGACAACATAACGAGACAACATAACGAGACAACATAACGAGACAACATAACGAGACAACATAACGAGACAACACAACGAGACAACATAACGAGACAACATAACGAGACAACATAACGAGACAACATAACGAGACAACATAACGAGACAACATAACGAGACAACATAACGAGACAACATAACGAGACAACATAACGAGACAACATAACGAGACAACATAACGAGACAACATAACGAGACAACATAACGAGACAACATAACGAGACAACATAACGAGACAACATAACGAGACAACATAACGAGACAACATAACGAGACAACATAACGAGACAACATAACGAGACAACATAACGAGACAACATAACGAGACAACATAACGAGACAACATAACGAGACAACATAACGAGACAACATAACGAGACAACATAACGAGACAACATAACGAGACAACATAACGAGACAACATAACGAGACAACATAACGAGACAACATAACGAGACAACATAACGAGACAACATAACGAGACAACATAACGAGACAACATAACGAGACAACATAACGAGACAACATAACGAGACAACATAACGAGACAACATAACGAGACAACATAACGAGACAACATAACGAGACAACATAACGAGACAACATAACGAGACAACATAACGAGACAACATAACGAGACAACATAACGAGACAACATAACGAGACAACATAACGAGACAACATAACGAGACAACATAACGAGACAACATAACGAGACAACATAACGAGACAACATAACGAGACAACATAACGAGACAACACGAGACAACATCTGTCTCTTATACACATCTAGATGTGTATAAGAGACAGCCATAGAATACAGAAGCCTATTCGTACAGGTTTTCACTGTGAACACTTACATTATTATCCTATGTTCATTCTTGTGGCAGGTTGGAGCAGGTTGCCCGCGCGGGCAAACCTGCTTCCACTGTGTGCGTACCCTTAAGCTCCCCTCAGCTCAGGCAGATAAGTCGTTCTCGCCGCTGAGGCCCCGGAGGGTAGCGGACATCAACGATAACGATTATTACCTCGTTTGTTCCATTCGTTCCTGCGTTACCCAAGAAGCTGTAGGATTAGCCCTCAATAGAGAAGGGGAGAAAGAGCCCTCCTGCTTCCCCTAAGAAATGTGTGATTATCGGTTCAGCTTCTCTTGTTTTGAAAGTCCGTCAGATCCATCCCATCTGTCGCCTACATCTTGCGGTTATTGCTGCTATGTGATCACCAAAATTGACCTAATTGTTCAACAACACTTCTAGATATAGTGAACGAGTCGCTTCTCTTCTATTTCTGAGTTGTCAGGTGCTAGGTAGCGATGCTCTCTACCAGCTCTTACGGTTCCTCTGTACCTCAGAACCTCAAACTTGGTCCCGTTGAACTGCATATTGTTTACTTAGGCCCATCAGACATTGCAGACGGTTCCTCTCGCAACTTCCATAGTGAGAGATTTCATTTGCTTGTAATTTTGGAGTTTTCAAGTTTCATTTTTTTCTGAGATATTTTGGTAGCCCAATATTTATTTATATTGAGCTACCAATTATACGATAACGCAAACGCGTTATCGTATCCAGTTGACCGCCTCTAGCTCTTATTTCGAGTCGAAATAGATTTTCAGGACGGCAAAATTTAACATTGAAAGCGACGATAATTAATTCGATGGTCAACTTTTGAGGAGCTTGGAGATTTGAGTGAAATAAAGGAAATAATTAGATGTGCTGGAAGCTGCGGCGCTGGAGCTCCTCGACGCTGAACCGCGGCCTGTACAGGGGGCGGATAACAGTGTTGTCCTTGTTGTCCTGAGGGATGACAGGGGTGTCCTTATTTTCGTCTTTTTCTACGCGGATAACAATGTTTTCTTTCTTAGTCAGGCAGGCGGTGTTATCGTTGTTGTGGTGGGTGACAGCTGTGTTGTCTTTACTGTTGTCGTCCTTGCTTTTGTTATCATTGTTGTTGTCGTTAGTGTTGCTGCTTTTGTTTTCCCGCCGTGCGTCCCGGCCTTTAATGACCTTTTCACTGCTCTTGTTATCCCGGGAGCTGTTATCCTCGCTTGTTTTGTTCTCGCTGCTGATGTCCCCGCTGAAGTTTTGATTGTTTTCCCTAGCACCATGGCTGTCAACGCGTCTGTTGACGTTGTTATCTCTATTGCTTGTGTTGTTATCTTTGTCCGTTAGATGAGTGTCTGTTGTCCTGTTATCTATGTTAACGTTTCCGTTGTTCTCATCGCCTCTGTTCCCGTTGTGATTGTTATCCCTGTTTGTGATGCTGTTTTCCTGTTGGCGGGAGGCGGTCCCGTTGAAACGGCCGTTAAAGTAACGGGCGCTGCCGGACGTACCAAACAGACGCATGTACCTGTTATCGCTGTTGCCAGTTTGTTCTCTGTTATCTTCGCTGTTATCTGGGACAACAGAAGTGTAGTGAAAACGGAGTTGCCGCGAATTTTCAACATGGCGACTGTCTGGGGTGCTAAGACGTTGTCCTTTTTGCACCCCAAGATGGCGCGCTTTTTGGGGGTTACCAACCCCCATGTCCAGCCCCACACCCCCCGCGGAGGGGTTTGCTAAGTTTGAATGTAAATTCTCCCGAGTTTCACCAGAAATTTCTGATTTTTCGTGACTGGAGTCGAAAGTTTGGGGTAACTCGACCGTGGTTTTTTGTTTGAAAAGCGGCGGCAAGTTTTTCAAGTCATCGTGCATCTGGCTGCCAGAGGCACGAGAAGTCGTCGTGTCATCGTTGATTTTAGGTGAATTGGAATGTTCAGCGGACGAAACGTGGCACACAAACAAAACAAACACGAATATCAGGAACACATTTCGTAAACACATACAAAAAAAGCCAGGAGTTCTAGGCCTTTTCGTAGATCTGGAATCCGCCATCTTGTCTTGCCGGTCAACGTATTTGTTCTGGCGGTGGTCACTTTCGTTTCTAATGATCGTCATTTTGTTTAAACAAATAAGGTATTTATTTTAACTCAAAATATATTTATAAAACGCAATTTTCAGAGCGAGCTAAATGAATTAGAGTACGAAGACCGCGAGAAGCGACGTAATACATGGCTATTTTGAACAGCAACTCCTACATAGATTGTCCACCAGCCACACAAATTAAAATAATTATTATAATAATAATTATTATACAATTCACTTCGCGGTTTCTTGTACTGGGAATTCTTTTACAGCACAAACGAGCTAAAACGCCCGTTAGCAACACTTAAATAAATCACTTTGACACTCAGGTTAAACACTAGTTGGCAACTTTCTAATTAAACACTAGTTGGCAACACTCTAATTAAACACGAGTTGGCAACGTTCTAATTAAACACTAGTTGGCAACACTCTAATTAAACCCTAGTTGGCAACACTCTAATTAAACACTAGTTGGCAACACCACAATTGAACAAATGTCGGCAACACTAAATTTGATTTCTAGCTGGCAACACTATCATGAACGCCCTCTGGCAACACTATTCTTCTCATGGAGTTGACTTGGCAGCTGTTGACTTCTGTTGACAGTCACCCGTTGGGCAATGCTTGAGGGAGAGCGGAAACCATGGCAACTGTTGGAAAATAGCAGGCAACGGCGTCAGTCAAACGTGGCAACGGTTATGTCAACAGGAACCGTGGCAACGGTTATGTCAACAGGAACCGTGGCAACGCTTATGTCAACAGGAACCGTTGCAACGGTTATGTCAACAGGAACCGTGACAACGGTTATGTCAACAGGAACTGTGGCAACGGTTATGTCAACAGGAACCATGGCAACGGTTATGTCAACAGGAACCGTGGCAACGGTTATGTCAACAGGNGCCAGGGCCGCCCGTCAACAGGACGTCGCCAGGCCGCCCGTCAACAGGACGTTGCCAGGGCCGCCCGTCAACAGGACGTCACCGAGGGCTCCGAGGGAAGCTAATTTAGACCATCATTTCCCGTCACCAAAAAACACGCTAGTTGCGCCTGTCAACACGAGACAGACGTGCGCCCGTCAAGCGTCTCTGTCACAAAGTTGCCAGCTGTCAACATGGCAATTTTTTCAATGTTTACATACGTCACACGAGTCAACAACGAGCGGAGCGCGCACACAACGACACCTTCACACCACCGCGTCTAGGCTGGCACTGACCAGCCGCTGCCAAATGCATCTTCAATATCCTATACATTTCCTCACGAAAAAGAAATGTTATTGAATATTGTAACATGTACCTACAATTAAATAAATATTCAATGAATAACAGTAGTTATCAAGGATTATTTATCGAAACCAAAAAATATGCTGGGAAAAATATTCGTCAACGATAATGATCGCTAACGACGGCCGAGCAGGTCTCCATTAGCCCTCGTAAAGATGCCAGTTAGTCTTTATTAGTATATATTTGATTTTGAAAACAATTTAAAAACTAGGCAGTCTGGCTAAATTTTAATAAAAGATATTCATTGAGAAACTAAAATAACTATGAAAATTTTATAATAGCAATGTAAATAAATGCATTAGGCGTTCACGCGTAATTACGTAAGATTAAATGAAGATAAAGGGAAGTGTTCGGACGCCAGCACCGCGTGCCCGACTTCGGCTTAACCAACGCACATGCCCAGCGTGACACGCACACGTGTGCGTGTATTGTACGCGTACACATGTGCGTATCCTGCATCCGTACACGTGTGCGTATCCTACACCCGTACACTTGTGCGTATCCTACACCCGTACACGTGTTCGTATCCTACACCCGTACACGTGTGCGTATCCTACACCCGTACACGTGTGCGTATCCTACACCCGTACACGTGTGCGTATCCTGCACCCGTACACGTGTTCGTATCCTACACCCGTACACGTGTGCGTATCCTGCACCCGTACACGTGTTCCTGCCTCCCGTTGATGCCTCCATAGATTTTGATTGTTTATAAAATTAGATTCACGGCCAGAAACTAAATTTATTTAATTTATTAACATAATAATATATCGACCATTATATAAGATTATAGGTTGAATTATATTGTTCAGATGACGTTGATTGATCAAAAGTTAGGTTTAAATAAGTAATTTTAATTTATTAGCGACGTTTCGGGTGAAACAACATTTATGTTCAAATTATAGGAAGCATTGAATATGAAATTTTGTATTAAGATAAAGATAAGATATCTTCAGTCCTGTGATGTTATAATGATATAAGCATTTGTACTTTATTAACCTTCCTACATATTTTGTTCATTTACTTATGTATTCATTTTATATATGATTTTAATGTTAATGAAATTCAATTTGTAAAAGAGTCTGGGTCGGGACCCGAATATGTTGAATAGGTTCAAATTCAAATCTTATATGCATTTTTATGGTCATCAATCACACGTGTTTAAATAAATGATCTGTTTATATACAGTGTATGTACAGAGTATGTACAGTGCATGTATACAGTGCATGTATACAGTGTATGTATACAGTGTATGTATAGAATAGAATAGAAGTGTCGGCATTGAAGATAAGCCCATGGCCTGTTCCATGTACAGTGTGTGTGCAGTGTATATATACTGTATACATGTACAGTTTCGTACACATACATTACCTGCATTACAATATTGATGTACTACGAATTTCTAGCGGCTTTTCCTCGAAAAGCCGTCGGTGATTTGGTGACGGACTATAAGAAGTTTGATTTTTATAGCGCATTTTCTCACTTATGGAAAAAATGCACTATTGTGCTCGCCATGTCCGTCTGTCCGTCCGTCCGTGACCTCACATTTTCGTCGACGGGAAAATGCGTTCTCTGTCACTCACTGCAGTGAGTACTGAGTTATATTTTTTGATATATATGACGCAATGTTTGCTTGTGACCGACTATATTTATACATACCATTGTCAGGTTGTGATGCCATTACTGACTATTACGTCACCTTCTGTGACGTCACTACTCGTGGGTCACCGCGTATATAAGCTGAGAAAGGGTTGTGATGTCATTACTGACTATTACGTCACCTTCTGTGACGTCACTACTCGTGGGTCACCGCGTATATAAGCTGAGAAAGCGCACTGTTAGTCAGTCCCAGCAGAGTCTCAGTCTTAGGCAGACAGCCTTCAGCTGCAGTCATGCAGACAATTGCGATCAGTTGGCCAACTGACCCAGAATAACTTTGCGCCGAGTGTAGTGACTATTCGGCCGAAGCCTAGGCGGTCCCCGAATTTTGTTAGGGCAATTTTTTTCAGCCCGACCTCCTAGCCGATTTGACCGCAACTATCACAGGTAGCTGCTATCAAACCCACAAGTCACAGCTGCAATCCACCTTTTCTTACAGTGGCTAAACGCTGCTTTAATTAAGGAGACCATAAATAAAATATATTTTTTAAACGATTGAGTCAATCAATTGATTGCCGCGCTCCAATCAATCACATATTATAGTCTTCAATCTATTGACAAAATCCTGCCTAACATCACAGATACGCTTGGATATAGGATAAGTTAAAAACATAACATTTTATTCTCGATTCAATCAATTGGTTGCCGCGCATCAATCAAGCACATTAAGCACACAATTTTTTTTCGATTGAATCAAACGATTGTGTCAATCAATCGCATTATAGCCTTCAATCTATTAACAAAATCCTGACTCGCATCACAAATAGGATAGAATACAGGATAAATAACAAAAAAATACAATTTTTCCGATTGAATTCATTTTTTAACAATAATTCTATTTTATTGAATCAAACGATTGTTTCAACCTTCAACCAAATAAATCCTGTATTCTTTTGACCAAATCTTACCTTGCATCACAAATATGCTAGGATAAAAGATAAATTAAAAAAAACATAATAATTTTTTTTCGATTGAATCAATCTAAGATTGTGGTGATCATTTTCTTTATAAAAATAAGCGTATATTTCAACCAATCAATTCCATCAATCAAAAATACCATCAATCCTCGCTTCACGCTTTCATACAGGTTCCTCCTACACGGCCAATCACTCGAGCCAATTGATTGGCCGGTTATAAAGCGGGCCAATCAATTCAACCGAGTAAGGGAAGTAAGGGCAAATAAAGGGGCGGTTAAGGGCAAGCTTTATTATATTAAGTAAGTCAAGCTCATATTAGAGCTACACTTATTGAGCGCTCATTGGCAGCCAATCACTGGCCAATCATCAGCCAAGCACTGGCCAATCATCAGCCAAGCACTGGCCAATCATCAGCCAAGCGCTGGCCAATCATCAGCCAAGCACTGGCCAATCATCAGCCAAGCACTGGCCAATCATCAGCCAAGCACTGGCCAATCATCAGCCAAGCGC